TTTTAAAAAAAAAAAAAAAAAAATCATCCCCTTGGCTAGAACATTCTCATGTTGCCACAATCAGCTGCAGGAGAGGCTGAGAAATTTGGTCTTTATTCTGGGAAATTGAGCACCCTGCTAAAAACCAGGACTTCTATTACAAAGGAAGAAGGGGAGAGTGGTTTTGGGGTGGGGGCAACTACTTATTTCTTCCATACTATCCTATTAGGTTTTTCCCTAAACATATAAGTCATATGTGCTTATTGTACAAAATAAACAATTCAGACAATACAGAAGATATAAAGAAAAAAGTAATGAAAGTATTACTGGCCATCCTGTAAGCCGTGCCTTTGTAATTGGCCGTACATGGGATTATACAAGGATGTTCACAGACAGAGTTGTTTCAAATAGAGAAAAATTAGGAGCAACCTGATTGTCTAAAATAGGGGATCAGCTAACAAAATTTGGGGGAGGCAGGTAGCGTCAAATAGCATGTGAGAGCACAGGCCTGCTCTGACGTCTCAGCCCTGCCACCTCCGAGCTGTGAGACCTTGTCAGGTGATCGCCCTTCTTGTGCTTCAGTTTCCACCTCACAGGTGGGAATCCTGACAGTTAGCTCAAGAGTCATTCTTGAGAGTACATGCCAGCTGGGAGTTGCGGGACCTGGACACACTCAGTCGATACTGGCCATGATTGCTTTTGTTATTGAATGTTTTTTAAAAAACATATTATAAAGAGAAATAACTAAAAATAAATAGCCTATGATTCCTGATGCAGTCACCAGTCAGATTCTGGTGTGGGACTGCCTGCCTGGTGTCCTCCAGGAATGTCATACAGGATGCAGAGAAGCTGTGCAGGAAGGAAACCTCCCCACGGTGTTCAGCCCTGACACTTGGGCGTCATTCCTGATGCGTATGCCCCAAGCTTCTCAACCACAGAGCCCTGTCTTTTATCTTCCCTGTTCCATCGCCCATCCTCATGGCCAAGTACCAACTTAGGATTTTCTTATATATCACTTTCTTTTTTTTTTCATGCTCCAAGCAACTCTGCATAAAGATTATTTTTAATCTTTCCCTTCATTGTTATATAAGAGGTAGCCTATTTTACACAGTTCTGCTCCTTGATTTTTTTACATTAACAATATATCTTAGAAATCTTTCCATGTTAGTGTACAGGGAGCTTCCTTCAGAGAAAGATATTTTTGTGTGTATGTCTTTTTTTGTGACTGGTAAGGGGATCGCAACCCT